GGGGAGGACACGGCGAAGTGCACGGTGCTGGAGGCCGCAGGTGACGGCAATTGCTCACTTCACAGCATCTACAGGCTGCTGCACCCCGAGCGAGATAGCGTCGTGGGTGCAACACCAGAGGAGATAAGAGAGACCCGACAAGAAATGGGTGATGAAATGGCAGCAGTTGTTTTCGCTGAGGACTACGATCTGTTACTGGACAACACGGTGTCCGAGGAAGAAATGCGGAGATTGTCCAATCTCGACTTCGACAAGGGTTTCTACCGAAAGCGCACCTCCTACTCCAGCCGAGCTACAGGAATCAAACCAGTGAAGACTGTGGAAGAGGTGGTACAGGACATCCACAGACAACTGGGGAATGATTACTTGGCGGTATGTCAGCTGGCGTTGGTAGCCGAGGTGAAGGAGTGTAATATCGTGGTCTGGGAAGCAAAAATGGGAGGTGGGCTTCGAATCGTGGAAATAGGCGAGACCACGGGCTGTTTCGTTGGCAATCTTTTTGGGAAGGATTTTCCGCACCTGGTGTACAATGACTGCGGGGGCCACGTTGCAGATAATTACGCTGAAGGTGCGGTTATAGTGCGCGACCCGAGCAGCAGCAACGTGGCGGCAGCAAAGATGAACCACTTCAGCGCTATCGTGATCCCACAAGAACTCGTGCCATGGGCATTGCCGTGCATGCTCGCACGGGGTTCCTCCGGCGAGTCTGTTTTTGGGCATAGGGAGGCTGCAGACGATTTTTGCCCGTGTCCAACCACATCGGACAAGCGTTCGACGAAACACCGGGGCTCTTCCATTGTTGTCGACACTGGTGATGATGACCAAACCAAGACAAACAGCAGCGTGCGATCTCCCCGCTCTGCTGGAGGTGCGCGGTCAGTCACAACCGCACCCCACCGGCGTATCCGGCGTATCAAAGCCGGAGGTGCCGCTGGGGAAAGCGGCGATCACGCGCGCCACACTTCCTTCTGCCAGCAGCATGTCGGCGACGCCCGTGGTGAATGAGACGCCGACGCCGGCGGAAACGCCAACCAAGCTCGCCAGCAGCGAAGCGCAAGAGCTGTCTTCAGATGCGGCGAAGTCGGAGACGCTAGAGGGAGGTGCTGCCGGCGCAGATCCGTCAAAAAAGAAGCACGGAAAGCGCAAGCGCCGCGAGACTTGCAATGCTTTATTCGCCAGCGGGAAAAGGCAACGGCAGCGCTGTGGGGCCGAGGCGAAATCCCCCTGTGGTACGCTCTGTAGCATGCACAGTAAGAAGGGTGGCCAGAACCGTACTTGCGGTAGGGGTGGAAACGGCGGTGATGACGAAACGGAATACGTGCAGGAGCCTGAGGGGGACGAGGAGATGAGTGACGGGGGTAGCGACGGCGAGTTTCCGGGGGATTTGGCAGACTATGACGAGCCGTCCGTGACTATCAAAAGCCCTCAGCAGATCAACGCTATGGTGGACAAGATACCGGAGGGCTGGGGAAAGGCGGCCCTGAAGTTCGTCTTCGAGTTGGTGCAACACACACATGACTTCCGAAACGACCGCAAGGTAAGGATGTGTGCATTGATATAACTAGGATACTATTTTTTCCGGCAAACGCTCGTCGCTTTCCGGTGTGATGTGTTGTCGTTTGGGACCACAACGGCAGCACGAAAGCTACAGAGGTACGACTTCGTTCGGCAAAACAGGTTTACAAAGTTTGATGTACACGGAGTTTTGACATCAACTACTCACACCACCGCGCGTCGGGGGAGGGGGGGGTGTACTCATAGTCGTGCATGCCGTAGTCGTTAGACCATTGACCTCGCATCCCTACAAAGCCGGGACCGAGCACGCCGGGTTCGCACCGGACCAGGCTCTCACATCACCAAGCGCGAAGCGCCGTGAGATGTTCGACGAGTCGCATGAACGGTGCGCTGCATCCTGATTAGGGTGTTCGTCATCTTGTGCTTACTTCCTTGCACACAGATGACAGCTGCGTATGACTTAGTTTATTTTCTTGTGCTTTCTTTTCCAGAGACAGTTAGAAGCACCGTGTACCTGCCTCGAGGATGCTTGACCTTTTCAACACAACGTGGTGCGATCATCCCCCTTGCGCGGAGTGAGGGTTATCGACCCCGCACAACATGAGCTACTCGACCACCCATGGTTACCGCAAAAAAAAAAACAGAGGTAAAAAAATAAAACGGTAACCTGGTTGCCGAGTTCACGAAGTGACTTGGCATATTTTACAACGTCGTTGCCAAGCGACAAAAACCCAATCCCGATAGCAAACACCGATGGGGGGGGGTGGGTGTTGTTTTTTGTGTCCCTTGCACGAAATTTGATATTGGTCGTGCACCACTTTGTGTATGCTTGTTGTTGCTTCTCCCACTCTGCAAACGTGTATTGCTGTAAATAATTTCGTTTCGTAGCCATCAGCAGCGTCGTTGATGCTGCTGTGAGTGTGCGATATGGTTTCTTCGTCTCTCCGTCTCCCCCCGCCCCCCCGCGCCTATCGTCCTCTCGGTGTGTCCACCTCGTCC